AGCTGATATGTAAAGAGTAATAATATTGTTCTTAGAGTAAAATCAGTCAAATTCAGCTAAAGTATAACTTTCATATTCATCAAAAATCAATAGTTGGTATTTGCTCTTTGTATAAAGTAAAGTGTTTTTATTGAATATCTTCTTCAATTAATACAAATTCAATTTATCAGTTGTTCAATCATTATCACTAACTTCAATGACTTAGTTGTCTGGCAGCTCTTCTATCTCATATCAATAGAATTGATGTACTTTTTCTTTGAGAATAATCATCATATGAAGAGCTCAATCTGTGATATTGATTTCAGTAATAATAGTTACTCATTCTCAATTTTCAGATTGAACTAATTTTGAACAATTGATTTTTTCAGACTCAATTATCACTCTAGCAGTACTAATAACTCTCATCTGAAATCTAGTCTCATCAAAGTTGCAGATATCATCTTTCAGAATTTCATACTTTGTAATGATATTTTGTACAAGTTTGAATCATTTATAGATAATCTCAGAATTCTCATATAGAGCTCATTAATAATTGAACTTATATAAGAACTTGAATTTGAGCTCAGAATGATAATTAATAAATTGATTAATTTAGCATTTGATCTCAGTGCTAGAATTTCAGTTGATAAGAAGAAGATTGACTGTTTCTCATACAGTACACACTTAAGAAGACTGATCATATTCATTCATGAATAGAATTTACTGTACAAGAACTGACTCTTCAGTAGAGGTTAATTTTCAGTTGTTGAGTTGAAAATTCTTTTGTGTTGTATGATTATTCAATCAATTCTGTAAGATGATAAAAAAAAATACTATATAAATTTACAGCTTTCTTAATACTTGAAGTTTGATCTCTTTTTAATGTTTGAATAGTTGAAAGAATCTTTTCTTTCTGAGTAAAAGCTTGAGAAGGCTATAGAGTGAGTATTTTATTGATATGAATGCTAAATATATACATATTGAATAAACTGATTAACTAGATGATTCTATCAACTGGATGATAAATTATATTATTAACTAACTAACTTACTAGTTAACTAATATATTTTTTAAATGAGTATAGTATTTAAGCAAGTATAATATTAATTTAAAATATTTTTTAATTTAACTACTCTTCTACTTCAATATATAATTATACTATTAATTTATAATAAAAATACTTTAAATTCTCTAAAAAGAGAGAAAAAACTTGAACTTATAATAAAAGTTTTTAAAAATTAAGAAATTACTTTAATTTATAAAGCTATTTACTTATTTAATATCTCTTATTCTACTTTAATCTATTGACTGAATAACTGATAATCAAGAATAAATTTATATATAAATTCATATAAATTATCTTCTACTAAAGAAGATAAAATAATTAAATGAGTACTAGATTAGATTAAATATGAATTTTTTTCACAATCAGCATTAATTGAGAATATAGCTAATTATCTTCTTATTATATAGAATTTAATCACTTTCACTACTTCCTCTCTTCATATTGCCAAGAACTGAGTATCAAATCTAGTAACATATTATCTAAAACTTCAAAGCTGCTATTTCAGATACTATAATCATGAACAAATCAAGTATAAAGATTAATGAATTATATATGATTGATTTAAAATCGTAAGAAATACAATTACTGAGTATGAAATTCTATCAGAAAATATATACAACTTTGATAAAACTGAAAATGCTATGAAAGTTTATGCCATTACTAAGATTATTGCTGGTAGTGAGTGCTATAGCAGAGTAAAAGCTTCGATCAAATCATCAAAATCTATGAATATGAAAATGGTTAATGTTATTATTTATAAAAAAGCAATATCAGAATATATTCAATATAAATAAGATAGAGAATCAAAAATACAAGAGATCTAGACATCAAATTCAACAAGAAGTAGGAGGTTTAACTAGTGAAGAAGTTCAAAGTCTTCTAGCTTCACCTGCACCATCTGCAGAGTCTGCAGCACCTGTTAAACAATCAGTTATTCAATCTCATAAGTCTTCACTATCTGCATCTGCTCTATGCTGATGAGCTCCACAACACTGCAACAATTGTAATATTCTCAGACATACAAGATTAAGATGTTCTCAACTGCGTGTAATTTAATTTAATTTAATTGAGTGTTGTAGCATTGAGATAATTTGAATTAAAATCTAATAAGTTGAGCTCTAGTGGTTTTGGTGTTGCGATCGCTTGAGTGTTTGCGCTCGCTTGGGAAATACATTAGTTACCCAAAAATGTGTAGTTTCTCCCTTCATGGAGGGATAACTAACTATAACTAGTTAGTTAATATAAAACTCTGGCTGTATGTCAGCAGGACCGATACCGCTAAAACACCAAAATTACGGAATCTGGGTGTATTTTCTTGGATGCCAGATATTTCCCCATGCCGCTCCGGGGCTTTCATTCCTTTGACCCAAGCAAAGCCAATTGCTCAAGGACAAAGAAATATTTCTTCGGGTAATCTCTGGCGGTGTGTGGCGATAGTGGCAGAAGCTACTTCACACCGCTTCCTCTCATGTGACACGCCCATCGGCTTGTTTTGGCTCCTTTCAACTTTTCCCTCCTCAGCCCTCTTTTTTTCTCAATTCTTTGCATCTCTTCCCTTCACAGGTTTCAGTCCCGTGTAAGCAACTTATATCCTCTGCCTTTTATTTTCTGGTCTTTTATCGTCAGTTTTCATTCTCACCAGGACCAGCTAGATTCTCCAATACCCCTCATTCCACTTCCCAATACCCACACCTATACATCTGCCAGACAAGTAAGTCATCATGGTCAAAGCAGGTTAGTAATCCCTCATTCAATTCTCAGAGTATTTTAAGAAACTCCTGTTCTAACTAATTGGCAGTTGTTCTCGGTGCTTCTGGTGGCATTGGCCAGGTACGCGGCTCCTATATGACTTACAACACTATCAAAAAAACATCGTCAACGTTGTGGGCTTCAACCCCAAAGCCAAACAGTAACAAGATGCAGGTTTTATACTAACTCTGAATCCAATGATCTCTAGCCGCTCTCCCTCCTACTGAAAGCTAGTCCTCTCGTAGACGAGCTCGCTCTTTATGATGTCGTCAATACCCCAGGCGTTGCTGCTGACCTCTCCCACATCTCCACCGTTGCTGTGGGTACCCCGCAAAAACACCATTTAGCACAACAATCAAATGTTGATATGCTGTGCACTGTAGACTATCAAGGGATATCTCCCCGACAACGATGGCCTCAAGAATGCCCTCACTGGCGCTGATATCATTGTCATCCCTGCCGGAATTCCCCGTACGCAATCCATTTATAGTCTCCTGAGCACCATGTCATTTCTAGACCATTAACCATTCCCCCAACCCAACAGGTAAGCCTGGCATGACCCGTGACGACCTTTTTAAAGTCAACGCCGGCATCGTCCAGACCCTAGTCAAAGGCATCGCAGAATTTAGCCCCAAGGCCTTCATCCTCGTCATCTCTAACCCCGTCAACTCCACCGTTCCCATTGCTGCTGAGGTTCTCAAAGCCGCCGGCGTTTTCGACCCCAAGCGCCTCTTTGGCGTCACCACCCTCGACGTCGTTCGTGCAGAGACTTTCACCCAGGAGTTCACTGGCCAAAAGGACCCATCCAAGACCTCCATCCCCGTCATCGGCGGTCACTCAGGTGAAACCATTGTGCCTCTTTTCAGCCAGGCCAAGCCTCCTGTCACCATTCCCGCTGATAGATACGATGGCCTTGTAAATCGTATGTGAAAAAGTTTTGGATCTGACAATATAGCATCACCAATGCTAATTCCAGTGAACAGGCGTCCAGTTCGGTGGTGATGAGGTTGTCAAGGCTAAGGACGGAGCTGGTTCTGCCACACTGTCAATGGCTTATGCTGGATTCCGGTAAAATATCTCACCCACCTTTTTCCATCAGTCTTTTAGATAAACGAGCGTTGACGGATGTTTCAACCTAGCTTCGCTGAGAGCGTCATCAAAGCCTCTAAGGGGGAGAAGGGCATCGTTGAACCAACCTACATTTACCTCTCCGGTGTCGAGGGAGGCGAAGCCATCAAGAGGGAAGTTGGCTTGGACTTCTTCTCCATCCCCGTTGAGCTCGGCGTAAGTGACATATTTTCTCATCCGTGCATAACTTCTCAGTTTCTGGGAGCCAGACCCTGGGGTTAGACGACTGACGACGCTATTTAATTATAATAGGCTTCCGGTGCGGAGAAGGCCCATAACATCCTAGGTGGCATCACGGAACAGGAGAAGAAGCTCCTTGAAGCCTGCACCAAGGGTCTGAAAGGAAACATTGAAAAGGGCATCGAATTTGCCAAGAACCCACCTCCAAAGTAAAACCCCACCTATCCGCCCTCCTATCCGCCATCACACGTCTTCACCATTTGTCAAACCTCCTAATAAAAATAATATCTTGGAAAAGCGATGCATCATTTTGTTCCCTTCCCAGCAGTTCCCTTGCTTGCTCCCCAGGATATATCCTTGCATGTACCCTCTATCCCAACTACCCATTATTTGCTTTTATATTAAAATATGACACCCACCACCATTCAAAACCACAAGGCAAGCCAGGCAATCGAAGGGAGAGACATTTACTAATTGATGGATTTCTTTCTTCGCTCCTCTCTTTTCCTGGTGGATAGGCTCTAGGACACACATACAACGCAAAATCACCTTTTTGAAACGACGCATGTAAAAGAAAAAGGGACAACACATTCTGGTTGTGAAACCACGACGGTGTGCTTTTCAGGCAGTAGATGCGAGAGTGAGAGTTTCTTTTTGTTCTTTAGAAAAGATATAAATAAAATGAGATTGGGAATGAAGTGTTCCAATTTTTTTATATGTTTATTTATTTTTGTACTGTGTTTGGCCCCATTCCAAGCCGCTTCGCCCCAGCCTTTTTGCCATTTCCTAATCCAAAAGCAATGCTAGAGGTCGATAATAATTCAATTCATTAAAACACTGATAAATATCGTATTAACTCAAAATTACCCGGTCTAATGCTAACGGCGAGGGGTATCTTTCATGATTTGGATGATGGTTGTTGCTGTTGTATATGTATCGTCTTGATCTGGAAAGTTGCTCCTGGCAGGTCTGAGGATTCAGCTTGCACGGTGGCATTTATACCCATGCTCGCCAGGCCGCCGCGGATTATGCCGCAGGGGAACCAGAGATACTGCACGGGTGGAGTTAGGTTGGGTATGGCAGGTATATTTTATAAGAGTAAAAGGAGTACAACATGGGGTGGGTTAGGTATAAGCCTACTGATTGTGCTTTTGCGATTGCTTCGTTCTGATTTGCTAGGCTCATTCGTGTTAAGGGGCGGAAAGCGTTGTCTGTTAATACGTATACGCCCTGTATGATAAGTTCAATCAGGAGCCTGTCAAAGATGTTCTTCTATGCATTCCCCGTAATGCTTCCGTATCTATCAAAAACAAATAAGAGCCAGAAGGCTAGGAGGATGTAATGGTAATGGAGGAAATGCGCCAGGTTGGCTTTTCTCACCCTGTGGTTCGTCTTCAGATTATCAATCTGCTTCCGAAATATAATTGTCCAGAAATCCTTGCAGAGGAATTTTATCACGTCTAGATTATCTGTAAATCGCGGTCTATCTCGTGAGAATCTATTTTCATCTCATACATGAGAGATCAGTTAGTTCTATGTCGGTCTAAGGAAGAAATAAGATCGTCCAATGGCTTGAGAAACCGTTTACAGGCAGTGACAAGAAAATAACTAGATAGAAGATGTAGCATCTATCTACATCATTGCCCATACTCAAAATGATCTAGATCTCTAGAATCCGAAACGGCTACCGCTGCAAACGTGGTAGTAAATATGCATTCATCTTACCTCTCCGCTAACCCCTGGCCAACCCGAAACCCCAAAGTCTCCAATCTATAGAAGGTAGCTTCGCGATGCTCTTCTTCGTCCAATTTGCCATTGACTCCTGACAGTTCGTCCGCTAGTCGTTCCGCCATTGGCACTAGTTCTATGAGGAGGAGATCCAGACATGAGGCGCTGAGGAAGCGGGCGTGCGGGTCCGATGCGGTGAAGGGTGGAACTGGGGTGTCGAAGGACATCTGAGAGGGAGAGGGTCTACTTGTGGGAAGGCGGGGAGGAAAGGTGGCGGGCGGAGATTACAGGGTGTTCGGGAGGGGAGTGATTCTCACGGAGGTGAGTGAATACTAAGGTTGTTGCTTTTCGGGATGGATGTTGGTCGGATATGGTATATATTGATATCGAGAATTATATGGCTAGGCATCAGCAGAATTTAGAGAAGTAAGGAAGACGTTGAGGAGTAGTTATGGAGGTTTCAATGCTGTAGTTCCAGAATTAGCTTACTAGTTAGTTAAACTAACGTAATTCCCAGGCGAGTGGCTCACCAAACTGCATAGCGAAACTAATTTATCAATCTTCCTACTTTGACGCGTCAAAATACCATCAAGTCACAATAAAATAAAACTCTATAGAAATAGAGGACAGGATTCAACATGCAATTTCATCTTTGAAAAATAAAGAAACTATATCTATTCATGAAGTAGCAAGGTTGCACAATGTTTCAAATTGTGCTTTTTTTATTGACTGATTGATTGAAACTGAAAAGAAAAATACTTGATCAATAAGTGATGAGTTTAGCATGTCATGGCTCAATTTTTAGTTAAGATAAAAGCTTCTATTCATCTATATAACTAGGCGGCTGCAATGAGAATACTAAATTGAGAATTAGAATATGAAATAAATAAGCAGTCAAATATGAATAGATGATTAAAATCAAAACAAATCAATATGAGCAATCAAATATGATTGAAGATTAAAGTGATTTAATATTTAGAGTATAGCAAAGCAGATTAATCTTAATTTACATTATCAACAACTGCATTATAGCATTTATTTCTGATTTAAAAAAAATATTTACTTTTAAATAATTATGTTAGAAGCAAAAAAAAAGTAAAATAAAAATTTCATCAAACTTATCAATTAATTGATTGTAGTAACTAAATTTTTATAAATTTTCTTTTATACTTTACTAATATTAAAAATATTATTATTATTTTTTTTAAAAAAATATTAAGATTTATTTAGCAGTTTGACAGCAGTAATAGAGTTTAAAAAAATATAAATAAAATAATAATTTTTAACTTAATAATTATTAAATTTATAATATATATAATAGTTTACTTGATAGTATTTTTTCATTAAAAAGATATTATTATTATAGAACAATTACTGATAATATAATTTAAAATTAATTTACTTTGATTTTAATTATATTCAGTTATTTAGATTAATTTATTTTAATTCTTAATTATTTATTTATTTTATATTTTAATTCTCAGTTTAATATTTATATTATAGCTATCTAATTAGATAAATAAATTGAAGTTTTTATCTTTTTATCATTATAACTCTAGTTGAGTCATGATATAATATTAAACTTCTTTTTTTCATAATATAATCAATAAGTGAGTTAGTCATATAAGCAAGTTGATCACTTCTCATCTCATTGTATAATGAGAATGCATCTATGCCTCAATCATAAAGAAAAAGAGAAAAAGTTATATTATTAATTATTTTCTATATGTCTAGACCACATATGAGCAGTATGCTTAGTAATTTCATATACACTACATTGTGATGCTGTTTGTTTTTGTGATCAGAACTCAGCAGTCTCAATCACTTCTTTTTTCCATTCATTGATGCTTTGTATGTGATTCAAGCCTTCTTCAACCTCTAAAGCACTCTCTTGAGCTATATATATATGGTCTCTTTCTCACTTCTTCTTTTATTTAGCATTTACAGCTTTTAATTCTCTGTTTTCAGCTACTAGAATAGCAGTACTATGTATTGCCATTTGACACTTCTTGACCAGCTAACTCAAAGCTCAATTGCTTAGACTAAGTGAACTCTGTGTATAGTAGTTGATATATTTTTTGACCTTCTCAGTCTGCTGCTCCAATTGATGTATATTATGTAGTATGATAGTGGCCTAGGAGGTCTGGGAGCTGTAGAAGGTTTCAGAGAGAGTGGGAATATGTATTACTGTATTAAAATGTGAGAGAATCTGCTCAGAATTATATAGAATCAATTCAGCTGCTCTGAAGCTACTTTTGATATTGTTCTTAGTCAGAACCTGCATCTGAGCTGCAGAATATAGGGTCAGGAACTCTTCTTTATCAATATAATTGATTTTAAGCCATATTTGATTCTTCATCTATTGTCTATATACTGTTTTCAAAGAAGAGAAGCAGTTAACATTCAATGACTAGAGAAGATAAGAGAAATGAGATGGCATATAAAGAGCAATGATCTGATTCTCAGAGTAAAATTGATCAAATTTAGTAGAGGCATAACTTCTATACTAGTTCAAAATCAACAGTTAGTATGTACTCTTTGTACAGAGTAGAGTCTTCTTGTTGAACATCTCTTTCAGTCAGTACAAGCTCAGCTAGTCATTTGTTCAGTCATTCTCACTGACTTTAATCACTCAATCTCTGAGCAGTTCCTCAGTCTCATATTAACAGAACTGATACATCTTTTTCTTGAGAATAATCATTGTATGTAGAGCTCAGTCAGAGATATTAACTTTAGCAATGACAGTTATTCATTTCTAATCTTCAGACTATACAAGTTTGAAATTCCTGGTTTTTTTAGATTCAGTAATTGTTTTGACAGTCTTAATAATTCTCATCTAAAATTCAGTCTCATTAAAGTTGTAGATATCATCTTTCAGAATCTCATACTTTGTAATAATATTTTGTACAAGTCTAAATCACTCATAGATAATCTCAGAATTTTTACATAGTATATGTTGATGATCATACTTGCAGAAAAACTTGAATTTCAGCTTTTTATGATGTTTGACAAAGTTTTATACCCAGCATTCACTCACTGTGGGTGAGGGGTTGAATCTCTGACTGATAAGAAGAAGATTAATTATTTCTTGTACAGCTGTAATTTGAGATAACAGATCTCACTCATTTGTGATCAGAATTCATTGAACAAGAGATTCTTTCTCTATAAGACTAAGTTTTCAGTTCTTTGAGAGAGTGTTAACATATGCTGTATGATCATGTATCTGAGCATCTAAGATGAAATATAAAACATTATACAGCTTTGCTGGAGCTCATACACTTGAAATTTGATCATTTTTAAATGCTTGAATGACTAAAAAAAGTCTTTCTTTCTGAGTAAAGACTTTATTTCTTTGTATGATTAACATTTTTGATGATAAAGATGTTGTTCTGAGATAAGATGAAAAGTAGCTGACTTGCTTATATGATCAACTTACTTATTAATTATGTTAAGCTCTAGTAATTAAATAAGCAGATTTTATATTCATGTTTATATCTATATCTCTATTTATATTTAATTGAGCTTTTCAGTGATTATAACTATGCTAAGTACTTAAAATCTTAGTTAATTTTTAATTTTTTTATTATTCTTTTCTTATTTTTTATTTTATCATCAAAATTTCTCTTGCTACTTTTTGTTAGGAATTTAAAAATATTATTTAGAAGCCTTATAATTAAATTCAATAGTTGTAGACTAAATATCAGTTTTTACAAATAGCTTTAAATAATTCTTAATTTTAAACTTAATTTTCTCTAAAGCTCTTACTATTAGATTTTGAAAAAAATTATTGATTAAACTTTAAAATTAAATATTTAATATCTTTTAACTAAAGTTAAACTATAATATTTACTTAAATTTAGATTTAAATATATAAGCAATAATTCTTCCTCAGGTAATTTAAGCTGAAGAAATAAATTATTAAGATATAACTCAGTTTTTAATCATATTTCTTGTATAAATAAAATAATTAAGATAAAAATACAAATTATATAATTTAAAATAAAACTCAAATAAATTTTTGACAGTCTATATTACTAAACTTGAATATATTCTCTATGAAATCAAAGCTCAAATGTGATTAGATTCCTCAAAAATGTTTTAATTTTATTAAAGTCTTAGTATATTAATATACAATTGACTAGCTCAGCAATTAAATTTATCTTGAACTTATAACAAATTTTTATATATTATTTAATATTTAGCTTTTAATAATTTCTTCTATTTATTTTTACTTTATACTTTTCAGTAGTCTAGTTATTCAGCTTATTATAATTATTCTACTTATTATGATCGTTTTAATTTTATGAATATAAATCAGATTAATACTTTTAACTTTTTATATAATTTTTTATTACATACTTTATCAATTTTATTTTCTCAATAAGAAAAGTAACATCAAGAAGGCTATTATATATATTGTGAATCTAATAATTATTAAGTTTAAAATTATTATTTTTATTTATATCCTTCTAAGCTCTATCACTATTAAACTATCAAATAAAATTTAGTCTATAATCAAAAATCTAATAGTAACTTTGATATTAATGAAATATAAAAGAAAATATATAAAAATTTAATAAATAATAGCTAAGATAATCGATGTACTAATAAGCTTAATAAATTTTATTTTACTCTTTTCTTGTATCTATATAGCTACTTGAGAGCAAGTACTTTTTTAAACTAAGAGATAATGTTGTAGTATTATCACTGATAATATAAAATAAAATTAATCTATTTCAATCTCAATCATATTTAATTGTTTAGATTTATCTGCTCTGATCTTCAATTATCTATATATATTTAGTTACTTATCTCATTTTCATATTTTAATCCTCAATTTAGTATTCTTATTATAGCTATCTAGTTAGATGAATTAAGCTTTTGTCTTGTTGTCATCATGTCTATAGTTGAGTTATAACACTCAGTTCTTATCAATATATATGAAAAAAAAAATGAAAGAGAAATAGCAATGAAGATAATGAAATTATATAGTAAAAAAATAATTAGTTATATTCTTAATAAATGTTAACTGTGAGAAAAATTCTCATTTAACTTAATTCAACACTTATTCAACTAGTCTATTCTCTTTAGTCTGAGTAAATTTGATTGAATTTACATGTGGATTCAAGTAAGCAGTCTGGTTATTAAGTCTATAATTTAGAGTGGAGAATGACACATTAAATACACATGAAGCTTCACTGGTTGGGAATATTTCTTGCTTTTTTAAAGCATTTATTATGAGTTCAAGCCTCTTCTCTCTCTCAAGAGAATTTGAAGTGTTTTATTGCAAATTGGTGGCATAATTGCACATTAAGATGGATGAGTAGTTAAATGAGAAGATATTTTTGAATTGATGATCTACTTACTTGGATGATCTGCTCACTTGGGAATTATGTTAACTAACAAAAATAGTCTAGGACTTTGTCAGGTTCTGCTCTGCCTGTATTGCACAGTAATTCTTTTAATTTGTAAATTACATCTAATTGCAAAGTCTGGATACTTGCAAAGGCATTTTGCAACAACGGGCTAAGTATCAAAACGAAAACAGAGAGCGAAAACACGATGCTTAGAAAAATATGTCTAGACATATATCCCCGAAAGAGACAGCAACCATAAGAGAAATTTGCGGAGAACAATGGCCTGGCAATGATCCACACAATCTTCAATTAAAAGCTGGTTAACCTGGCTATTAATAAATTCGAAAATATGTAGCCCCCTTGAACACCTGAACGCCTCGCTCCCCACTGTATGTTCCCTAATAAATGATCATAACTCCCTTGGTATGGTATGGTATTGTGGATGATTCAAGCAGGTAGGTAATAGATCTCCCGAAATTTGATCTTGCGCCAAATCTTCCAAACGAAATAGCAGTTTTGCATACGAAAACCGAAACTTCCCTGGGTCAGGAAACCCCCACAAACACACTATCAAATACAGATCGAATCATATCAAATTACAATCACGTCGTGAATAATATCTCATGTGTCATAATAAAATGAACTTGGTGCAGGAGAGTTGGAGTTACTTTGACTGGAAAGCGCATATCCGCCATTACTCAAGCTGGTCCGCGCAGCAAACTCTGAATGTCGATTTCTCAAATATTGGCTGGATTGGATGTGTGGGCGTTTTGCCGCACGTGGAGGTGGTTCATCTTCATCATCGCTTATAGTCAAATCGATGACCTTACTAGCTGGTCGTTTATTATTATTTGGGGTAGGTCGAGAGGCGGATGGGACGGATGACACAGCTCGGGATTGCACAGATGGAGTTCTTTGTAGAGTTAATGGTGCGGTGGTCTGTTCCTGTTTTAGAGTCACCGGATGTGAATCTTGGATTTCGATGAGATCGTCACCGTCGTCGCTAGAGGGAGAAGGGTTCCCTCCCAAGGTCGAATTTTCGTTGTCCTTTTGCATATACCATTTCCCGTCTGGCTCGAGAGTGACTTGATCAACACCAGTTGGTGTTGATCTCAGGATATCATCCACGTATCTAATCGGTTTAGTGTCAGCGATAAATGAAAAGTTGTTGCATATTACTATAGGCTTACTGATCAATTTGTAGCGATTCGAAGCTCGTGGCCTTGTTGCAGACTGGGCATGTCCACGTGGGGGCTTGTTCTTGCAATTGTAGGAATGATGTCGCATCGAAGCACTGATTATGGGCACAGATCATCGACCGGCACGGAACAGCTATTCGAAGTGTTGACAATGGACATTTTAGTGACATCACAGCAGAAGTAGCGACAATGTCGGCATCTTCAGCTCTGTTTTTCACTAGCGGTATTGTCAGACATTGTTTACATATAGGTTGAAGTCCGTAGTTCAAGATATAACTTACTTTCACGTATGACCTGCTCCGAAGATATTATTTTGCGACTTTGCAGTTGCTTCACCAACTGCTCTACCGAATGTTTTCGAACGAGATTTATAACTACAAAGTGTCTCTATGCACAACAAATTAGTACAATGAGCAACAGAAATCTAGGGTCGTATAATAGCCAAACCGAGCTAGTTAAATGGCACTGGCTAACCTTCTGCGTAAGTGCGTATGTCATAACAACATGGTTAATATAACCGGGTTTCTTTCGGATGAAATTGGTGATGTCTGCAGGTCGCGTGGAGCCCGGCTTGTTTTTCAATCCGCGAAGATTTGCTTTAACGTCATCAAGGTTCGCTTTCAGCTCGACTTGATGAGGGAATGCAATGTCGCATTTAGTGTATTGAGTCAGGCCGCTATCGACTGCGCAATATACCATAATACGTAAGGATGGATCATTCTGTAGCCGGGCTACAATTGGAGGCGAGAGAACTACTTTTAAATTCACACTATCCCGAGTATCCTGCCTAACTGCAGCGTATTTAGTGGTTTTCATATTTCTTCAGGAGTTCCGAAACATATTGGTATGCTCACTCTTGCATTCCACCACAGGGGTTAGAGGATCTATTATCGAATAGAAGGGGCTATCCTTAAAGCTGAGTCGACCTAGAAACGGAGTAAGCATGATAGCAGTATAAGTATACAGAGAATGAAACCATACCGGTCGAGAAAGAATGGCTTGGAGTCATTGGAACAGAGAGGGACGCTGCTGTTTGCTGCGCATACGGGGATTGTGCAGGTTGATGTTGTTGATACGTTGGAGAGGGTTGTGTTGGAGTTAGCGGTATCTGCAGATGGGCTGTAGCGTAAACAAATCTCTTCAGCTGATTATATCTGTCTGTTTGTCCTGCTCGAAAGAGTCGTTCAAGCCCTGTGGAATAACACCACATCTAATATCAGTTCTGTTCGACTCCTCTGGAGGGTAGCGGAGAAGACTAACGATCAATTATTCGGTCTTGTAAAACCACCTTAACGCCTGAAACAGGAAGATTTTCACTTCGCAAAATATCCTTCAGCTGGGAATTAAGTAACGACTTTACAATAGCAATGACTCGTTGTAAATCGGCAGTATCCTGACCCGTCGACGCCATTTTCCAAAAACGGAGGATTCAAGGCTTGCGACTATTAGGATCTGGAGGTTAGGACGACAGGCTTGCTGGGAGCTTTAGAGAGAGGATACATTTGTGACTAGGATCAACAAAGTGAACAGAAATGGGTATCTGAGAGTGAATATGACCTCCGCATTCCGCAGTTTGTCGTCTTTCTCGACGCTGTCTGCAAGAGAGACGAAAAGCTCCAAAGTTGAAGTGACCTCACAATGCGGCTGCGGCTGCTGACATAAGCCCAATGTTAGGCTACACTCCAGGAATTTTCGCTGCTTCATTTTCCACAACCATTCTGGGGCTTAGGTTCAAAGGACTTTTAACTGCAAATTAATCGCAATATCTCTCGTCACAAATAAAACTTACTTAACCAGGGTCTCCATTGGATTGGCCCCTCAGTCATCATTTGCGCCATTTCTGCGCGACCAGGACATCTGAGTCTCATTTCAGCATTCGAATCTTGAAATCCGACTCAATCCGGTGACTTTCGCAAAAATGGCTAAAGGTCTCCGATCCAGCGTTAAGCAACGCAATAAGGCCAAGCTACGTGCTGAAGTATTTGGTCCAGTTGTTGACAGGAGGACTGAAAGACTTTCGGCAAAACTGGTAGCGCTGGCGTCCAAACCCAAGGAAGTGAATATGGATGATGCAGGTATGAGCAATGCAGTTGAGTTCACAGTATAGCCTTTCTGAGGCTAAAATATATGTTCTAGAAAAACTCGATATGAGCAGAGAGGCTGAAGATGACGAAAGAAAAGGTGCGTACGATCCCCTTCACGTCTGACTATGGCATATTGCAGTACAATGCAACCCCCTTCCACTTCTTCCGTCGTGTCTTTGGGTGGGTTAGCTGCTGGTTGAATTTATTGCCCTTCTCTTCCCGAGTAGGGAAGCTGACATTTGTTTCTACAGATATGGATATCGATGAACCCTCTGGCATGACGAAGCCATCCTCCCAGCATACCCATCGAATCCAGAAAAAGGTTCGAAGGAAGACACGACCATCAATTACATTTGCTGCGCATCCATTGAAAAGAAAGAGATTATCCAAAAAGAAGTGAGGGATTATGTCATTAACTCCTGAGTTGTCATGTTGTTTCAAAATACCGGTTTTTCCACCTGATATTTTCCGCTTGGTTTAGATTTGGCGCATCGATTGGACAAGCATTTGGGCGATCTGCGGATTTTTGGTTGATGTTTAGAAGTTAGAATAATGTCAAAATATTTTTGATGTGCTGGAGACCTGAGGGATGCTTGGACCATTTGAGGTCATTTCTTACAATAATTACCATTTGCTCAAAATGTTCCATTCGAGGGACGAGTTTACGTGTAACTGATAAATAAACCCTAGTATTTGTTAATACCGAACTATCTTTGCTCGTAACTACCTAGATAAATTCCGTTCAATTAAATAAATATCATTTTTTTATCTAAATTCTGTAATAATCAAGTGAACAAACTAGCTCCCTTTCCTTGACTAACTAATCATCAAATCGTTTGTTAGTTAAAAAACGCGATCTTGGTTTGGCTGGTTCTGATTTTGGACCCAGCTGAACCTGAAGCTGTAACAACCTGCAGAGTTCATCAAATCCTATACTTTCTGCATCCCAGGCACAACGAAATGCAAACCAACAAGCAGGGCGATGGCGAGTCAGTGCTGTCTGAAGGAGCCAGTTTCATCAGTCATTCCCAATTTCTTATATTTTGAGTGACTATCCATTCGTTTCCTGGGATCATTATGGCGCCAAAATGGCCCCTGTTTCTCTCCAACTTGCTTTTCCCGCTGGCAATTCTGCTGTTTGCAAGCGGCTTCTTCCCGTATAAACCATTTATTCCGGGTCTAGCGACGTTCAGTGAAGAAAGTAATGGCATTCGATTATCAGCACCGTTTGATAGGGTCGTATTTATGGTGGTCGATGCTCTAAGGAGGTAAATTGGCGCTGCATTTTGCTGGGTGATTGACCTCTCATTGATATCACTTTACAAAATAGTGACTTCGTATATTCAGAGCGGTCAGGCTTTACATTTACTCAAGGGTCAGTGAAAGGATATGTATAGATTGAAATGTATTTACACACGACTTCCTGACTCTCTCTTAGGCTAATCCAGTCTGGGGCTGCAATGCCATTTACGGCCCATGCGGGTGCACCGACGGTCACAATGCCGCGGGTGAAGGCCATTACAACAGGTTCCGTGCCTTCATTTTTAGACGTAATTCTTAATCTTGCAGAATCCGATACATCATCGACCCTCGTTTACCAGGATACCTGGCTTGCTCAGCTAAGAGCCCGACCGGGTGGACGTTTGGTTATGTATGGGGACGATACATGGCTGAAGCTTTTCCCTGGGTTTTTTGACAGACACGATGGAACAACAAGCTTTTTTGTTTCAGTAAGTGAAATTTTTGCCTTCTATAAACCCAGAAAACCCAGCATTAAAATTTGTTTAGGATTTTGTCGAGGTGGACAGTAATGTCACTCGTCACGTTCCAGAGGAGCTCAAGATGGACGACTGGTCCGCGATGATTTTGCATTACCTTGGCCTGGACCACATAGGGCATAAGTCAGGTCCGAACAGGTTAGATATTGATTCATTTGGCTTTTGTCACGTTCGATTCTGATATAGCCCTAGCTCCCATATGATCCCCAAACAGAAGGAAATGGACTCGGTGGTTAGGGAAATATATAACGCCATCGAGAACGAGGACCATCTGTCATCTACTCTCCTCGTATTATGCGGTGATCATGGCATGAATGATGCTGGAAACCATGGCGGCGCATCTCCAGGGGAAACCTCCCCTGCTCTCGTGTTTATCAGTCCAAAGATCCGGCGGATACAGAAACAAGGAATCTCGCTGCAGCCACCGCTAGCCGATTTCCAGTACTACCAGTTAATCGAACAATCTGATATCGCTCCTACTCTAGCGGGATTGCTTGGGTTTCCCATTCCCTTGAACAGTTTGGGAGTTTTTATACCTCAATTCTTACCCATGTGGAAAAGTGGTGAGTGAAAATGGTTCAATAAAAATCCCTCGATATACTGAACTTGAACTAGATTCGGAACGACTTGATGTTCTTTTGGAGAATGCTAGGCAAATACGTAATGTTGTTAGCACTACATTCCCAGCCTATAAATTCAGCAACTCCTCCTATACGTCAGATATATGTGCACCGACATCAGATATAGAAATTGCTTCTCTTGAATGCGGTTGGCAAAATGCCTTACGATTGGTTTACGCAGCTCGTAATGACACCGGTCATTCGAAGCCAGCTGAGGATGCCCTGCTTGCGTTCTCCCGAGCGGCTCAGGATGTCATGAGCAGTGCTGCAAGTAATTATAATCTGGGAAGGCTTTATATTGGCATTTCCTTGGCCTCCCTGGTAGTTGCACTATGTGTTATTTCCTCCCTTCTCATGATCAACGGGGCTGAGATGTTTAGTGTCTTCATTGCTGTGGCCTACGGCGTCATGATGTTCGCAAGCAGCTATGTAGAAGAGGAGCAACAATTTTGGTATTGGGTTCTCAGCGGGTGGACTTTCTATCTGTACGCCAGGCCTCACATCCAAAATGGAGACAAGAATAGCGAGGATAGGGGTGCATCATCACAAGGAAGCCAGATTTGGAGTGCTCTTATCTTCGCGGTCTTTTCAAGAATTATGCGACGATGGAATCAAACAGGCCAAAAATTCACCTCTGAACCAGACGTAGCGAGGACATTCTTGCCAAAGCATACGAGTATCCTCTGGATACTGATTCTTCTAACATACACCGATATCTGCCAGAGAATGGTGCGCCGTACATCGTCGACCGGAGCAGTCTCATTTTCACGCCTTTTCTTCACCGTCTTAACCAGCTTTGCATTCCTCTTCAAACTGGCCTTCACTTCAGCTGACTCCCCAGAAATACTTAAAGGCACAGTGCTTTTCGGTCATCTAGTTGAGAGAATCGTTGGGGTGTCCTTAGTCGTCCAAGCCCGGACCGTGTTTTCCGGCATGGCCATAGTATTAAGTTACATCATTTACCGTGAGATCAAGCGGCAATTGGCTCTCAAAGCCTTCCTCTCCAAAACTCGGAACCCGCCCAATCCACGTCTCCTCAAACGCAACACCGCTCATTCCACGGCGAGATTTTCAGTAGACCTCCACAATACAGTAAGCCTTTTCCTCGTCACCCAATCCCGACCAACCAACATCCCGTTATTCCTTGTCTTTCGGCTTCAACAATGGGCCCTATCGTCTATGAAACTATCAGAAAACGAAATAAGCATTACCTCACTGATCCTACAATACGCGTCATTTTTCGCGTTGGGAGGCTCCAACTCAATTGCGTCTATCGACCTCTCTAACGCCTACAACGGGATTAGCGATTACAATGTCTTCCTCGTCGGTATCTTGACGTTTGTAAGCAATTGGTCCGGTCCGATTTGGTGGGTTTTCGCAACTCATTCCCTATTTGTTAGTGGAGAACGTCCTTCAATACGTCGTCGCGGTCATCTGGGATATTTGACCTTTTTCATTACGACGAGCCTGCTTGCTGTGATGGTGGCCTGTACTGTGCTGCGGACTCATCTTTTCATATGGACTGTTTTCTCTCCCAAGTTTCTGTACATTATGACGTGGAGTTTGGTACAGCATCTGGTTATTAATTTGCTACTTGGAGAGGTAATATTGGTGTCAATTTGTTAGAAAAGATTTAGATCACATGTATATTACAGGACTGCAGAATGCAGAGGACTTGAACATTGAATATCTACATGTATACACAGTAGGAACAAGTAGAGTAAAACGCCACTCCAACGCCATTCTTATCTGGTTCATAAACCCGTTCTCCGAAGAGACATATCTGAAAGGAGAAAAAAGAAGAAAGAAAAAAAAAAGCCATGACAAGTAGACTTAATCAGCGCACAAATCGCCAAAAATATCATCAATCGCATCCCCTTTCCTCTTTTTCCTTTTCGTGTTCAGTTTCTTCCTCTTCTGCCGCACTGCTTCTTCCTCGTGCCCACCCAACCGCACCGATGAAACCTCACAATTAGACCTCTCTTCCAAACCCTCTCCCTCCCTTCCATCAATAGCAGCCACCGAAATAGTAGGACTTTTCCCTTTCCCCCTCCCTTTCTTACTATCAGACCCTGCTTTCTCTACAGAGTCTGTCGCACAAGGAACATAAACCGTTCTCTTCACCACCTCGCCAAAGTCGACGCTGGCATGCTTATCGCGAGTGGTGGATACGGGAGAAGTAGTTGTAGCGGCTGCATTACTAGCTCCGACCTCCAGGGCATAGTTGACCACTGGTGATTGATTCTCGCCTGCCTGCGCAACGGCCTGGGCAGCCTGTGCCAGAGTTGCGAGAAGCACGACGCCCATGGAGGTAAATTGGGTGTCTGCAACGACAGTGGAAAAGGCGCTGTAAGGGAGAGTTAGTATTTCTTCATTTTTTCCTGTGAAGGGAAGGGGGGAAGCTAAAGCTGGAACCGGATTCCGCAATTTTCTAAAGACATACGATAAAGACATAAAAGCACAACGCACTGAATAACTGGCCAATTGAAACATATGTATAAAAGCAACACAAGAAACCAAAAACCTCTTAAAAAAAATCTTACATATAACACCTCGGCACAATCCAAAAATGCATATATCGCATCCTCTCCAGCACCTTGACTCGAAACCCATCATCATTATCATACTCATCGCCATACTGCTCATACCTCCTCACCAGCGCTACCAGCTCCGCCATCGACCGCTTCAGCATAGCGAGCCATTTCCACCACTTCGCGGCCCCGTGCTGGTTCTTGTTCCGGTGGTAGAGAAGGTGGAGAGATGTGTGGATTGCAATGAGAGTACGAGAGGGCGACATGAATTGTTTTTTTCGCTTTTTGGGGGAGGAGGTTGAACGGGAGGGAGGGTTCAATTTCATTTTGCAGTTCAATGTGGGTGTGGATGGAGAGAAAAATGTTAGGCTTTTCTGCTCTCTTTCTTTTTTACTTTTTTGAGTGGAGGGGTGATTTTGCTTTACCATTTTAATGGACCGGGTTGGCTTTGGGGATGTTATTATGGTATTGCTCTCAATTTGGGTGGAAGGTTAGATGAGAATTATATATAGTTACGTATAACTAGATAAGCTTTTTGGAGCAAATCTTGCGTTTTGAGTTTAAAAGAGCCCGCTGCAATTGATTGGCCCGGGATCTACCCCTGAAACCCTTCATTGTCCTTGTTCAAGACAAGCAAATATCCATGGCAGACAAAGAAGTGAGTACCTACATACCTACATACAACTTGAGCCTAGAGAGAGGGTCAATAGTCCAAGTTGATCTCGTCTATGTGCATTATATTTCCCAGATGATGCTAGGTATTCCCTTGATGGGAGTAATGGTTTTAATTTGTAATGTAGCCAGCTCATAGGTGTTATGAAGACTATGATAAGACTACAATTGAATCAAGTAACATGTAAAACTGATTCTTTCTTTGTTTTTGGACTTATTCTCACACAATAGTTGATTAACTTACACACTCCATTCATCCAGTCACATAGTTATAAACATGCAATGAAGAGTTCAAAAAACAAAAAACAAAACTAGCATTGCTCAATTAAACTTTGCTAAACTGACCTGAACATCTGAAAAAAATTATGTCACAGTGTATTATTACCTTGATGTCAAATCCCATTTCCATTTCCATTTTTTTTAATATATTTGTTCCCCCCATTTTCCATTTTCCATTACCATTTCCATCCCCAACCAGTTCCAAACACCAGAGAAGGGAAAAGAAGAAAAATCAAAAGAAAAAAAAAAAACTATACTGGTACAGGCAAAAACATACACCAGAGGGAATCTACAAAGACCCAACAACCAGCCAAACCGCGCGAGCCAAACACCATGTGTGTGCATATTGATAACTGAAATTGCCACCCAAGCCGATTGTATTTGTAAGCGAAAACAGGCAGAGTTGATAAAAAATGGAATGCCGTTTATTTTGCCCAAGGGTTCTCATTTTTCGATGTGATGGGATATTTATTGGTTTTTTGCCTCTGAATTGTGGCTGTGGCTGTGGCTGCGGCGGTTTTCGGATTTTCCGTTTGTTTCTCCATCCATATTTCTTGTTGTTATGGGGAGGAGCGTAAGCATTGACAAAAAACAAAAAGGAAAGAAAGAAGATTAAAATGATTAAAAGGGGGATGAAAGAAATTGATAATTCACAAGGGGAGGGTGAGGAGATATTAGGAGGTTGGAAAACAAAGAAGAAAAAGAAAAAGAAGTCACAGAAACAGATTGAAAAACAAGAAAGTAAGGCAGGGTATCAGACGAAAACGACATATTAAACTAATTATTCTTTTCTTTATCCGGAGGTTGGACCAACACTATTCCTATTCCCGTTGCCACAGCCAATGGTACCAACGTTGGCATTGCCGACATTCTCATAGCAAGGCGACATCGCAATAGGTAACATATCACCATGTCCATGTCCGTGGAGACGACGGGGAGTATAAACTGGACGGGGATAGTAGAATTCACGCTCAGCGGCGATGGTGCCGCGGTCAAACTGGCTGCGGCGACGACGCTGTTCATCACGATACTGCTGTCCAACGCGAGGGGCAAAGAGGCCTAGGACATATAAGTGGCCTTGCTTAATGGGAATGGGCATTTTTCTTCTCCGTTTTTTCTCGTTTCTTATTTTTTTTTCTTTCTTGTTTTCCCTTTTGGTAAGGATGGGGTGAGGGTGGGAGACGAGAATCAAATACGCACCAACATGTTCGGCATTTTCGACGCTACGACGCATTTTGGAAGGGTTGTCGGGACCAGGGAAACGGTCCTCGGTGCCAGCCACAGGGCCAGTGCCGGTGTGGAAGATCTAGAGCAGGTTGAGAAAGGATTTGGTGTGATTAGGGGAGGGGAAAGGAGGAGGACATGCTGTGTGTACGTACCTTTGGACGGAAGGAAGGATGCTCAAGCATCACAGAGCTATTGCGGAACTTTTGGACGAGACAGTCCTTGCCCTGGATGGCTATGGAATATTTAGTAAACAAATCAGAATTTGCTTTTCAACAGAAAGACATTACTTACTGGCATAGGAGATTTCGGCAATTTTGTCGCTATTGAAGCAGTTCCTGTCGAGACTGTTAGCGAAGCTATTCTGAATATGTTTGAATCAATCATACCAGCTATGGCCTGCACGGGCTTTGGCAAACTAGAAAACGAAGAGACTGTAAGTGCTTTGTACACATGGGGTTAGTTGGATGGAAGGCATAGAGCATACGTCGATGATGTCAATTGGCTAATCACAGAAGTTAGCGTGAATGCAAAACACAGTGACTGTATGTGTGTTGGATGGTATTCTTACATCTTCAAAGTTGATGAAGGCATAGCCAACACTATATATATGGTTGGTCAGAAGAAAAAGAAACAAATTATAAGGAGATGGTGTGCAACTGACTTGCAGTTGTTTGCGAAATCTGCACACAGGAGCTTGAGTCAGTGTCTGGAACGAAGCTTGGATTGAGAGACAACGGCGACTTACCGATACGCAAATACATGAAATCATATTTCCCATGGCTGGTTTCGTCGACGATATCCTTGAGCATTGCCTAACAAGAGCGTTAGCAAGTAAGGCTTGAGTTGTAGAATAAAACAAGGCAGCGGGGCCTTGTATATGATATACCTGGTCAATCTTGTTGGGAATGTTGCGGAGCATAATCTAGCTCAAATTAGTAACAGTCAACGACGAATGCAAATCCGGAAAGGATGGATGGACTAACCGTAGTGCGAACATCAACACCGCAACGAATGCGTTCAATATCGACATAATTCTGATTGTTAGATCTCGGATCACCACCACCATGATGACCATGACGACCAATCTCATGACGAGAACGGATGCTATTAAAGCCATCACCAGTCTTTGTCATCCATCCCAAGGCGGATGCACGGTCATCAACGGGGACCATGGAGCGGCCGGTAGGACTAATCTCATGGTAGGGACTAGGAGACGTAGAAGAGAAACGACGGCTACTGTAGGGACGTCTACGATAAGCCAAGTCAGAAGAGGGGTAAAGGTCCTTTGGCGACTCGAAGGAGCGCACCTGGCGCGGGGTGTGAGGAGGTGGCATGTCTGGTTTGTGATGCTTGAGTTCCAGGAAACAGTCCTGAGTAATTTGTTAGCAAACTAGGGTGTGGAAAAGGAAAGAAAAAGAAGGAGAAAGAATACATCAAGTGAATTCTTGTTAAGGGTGGACACGACATTATCAGCTGCACGAGTATCGAAGAACTCAAGCAGATACTCTTCAACATTAACTTGGCGGCAGGGAAGATTTTGGAACGCCTTGATATCGCCGAAGGTCTCTAGGAGATCCTTGAAGGAGTGAGACACAATACGCGCATCCATAGCTTGGTTGGAGCTGTCATAGGTGATAGTGGCATACACATGACCCTCGAAGTTAGAGATAAGATAGGCATTGTTGGGATCAAACTTTTGGGCATACTCCTGTGCGGTCATGGAGCTGACACGCCATTCCGGGTGGAGACGGGAAACTTTGGTAGATGCCTTCTTCGCATCACGCACGTCAGTGAAGCCGACATAGATGCAGCCTGTAGAGGCAAGTTCATTGAGAACAGGGCCCTTGAGGGTGGTAAATTCGTGGCGCTATGGACATGTTAATTCAGGAGTTACTTTGTTCTCCACACCAAGGAAGAGTAAGATTGACGTACGTTGAAAATCTCAGCAAGCGTGAGATATGGGAAGTTGGTCGGGATGCCAGCAATAGAGAACGCACGATTGCGATTTTCACCATCGAATTTGCCCAGATGCGCAAAGAACATAGGAAGTGGGGTTTTAACCAGCATCCCTTTGCCATTGGGATCAAATCCGGACTTAACGTGCTTGGGAGTACCGGTGGCATGCATGATAACATCGCCAGCGCCATCACGAGCATCAGGCTCAGAAGTTGCAGCCAGATAGCCCATACTGGACATTCGCTGATCAGCCTGCGACAAAGGAGTGCGAGAAGCAGAAGCAGAGAAACCAGCAAAGGGATTGATGCTAAAGCCAGATGGAGTGAAGCTAGAGGCGGTTGCGGAGAGCTGCATGCGACCACCGGCGATTGAGGTGGACTGGAACGGATCTTGACCATGATGGTTCCCAAGTCCATGGCTGGACAGATGCATTAGGACGTGTCTTTTGCTGCTTGGGTGAGCAAAAGGAGAATAAGCAGCTTACATGGAGTAAAACGGGCGACGATCATCACCAGCGAGGGAGGTGGCAAATGGCATTCCAGAGTCAAAGCGGGATTTCAGGCGGAGATCTTCTGGAGAAAAGGCAGTCATCTTTGTCTCTGACGAGCCAGAGCCAGGACGGGAAGCTGCTTCATTTGAGGAGTGTGGGCTGCTCCCGACGACGGGGGAGGACGCGTTACCTCTCATTTTGGCTTTGAAAATGGAATGAAACTAGAGGGTTGATGGTAGAATGAAGATGGAAAGAAGATGAAGGTGCCAGTGAAGGGAAGAAGGTTGAAGGAACTGGGGGTGAGCTTTTATAGGGCTTCAGTGCAATTGCGGTTGTGTCGTTGTCTACAGAGGGGGAGTGAGAACAAAAGAACACGGAAATGATGATATGGAGATGTTGAGGGAGGGGGAGGCG